AAAAATGTGGGTTATTAAGGGCTGATCTTGCTTGCACTGAGTCAGTAGAAAAACTCCATGGAATAAAGAGCCCCCATTGAACATATGGGCACAGATAAGATATTGTTTTCTGTGGTCTTTCTCTTATTGAGAACAAAATGTAAATAAAAATATTTGTGCATGTTTTATAACTAAATTATCCCTATTACCTCCTATTATCCCACCTATTTAAATCACTGAACACAGGAATTTGTCTATCTAATCCCGAAGCCTGCTTCAGGGACCCACCAGACCATAATGGACCAAGCTTATTGTGCAGTGATGTACATAGGGTAGATTCCTTCTTGTCCCCAGCAGGTGGCCAATTTATTCATTGAAGCATGAGAGTTAATTTCCCATATTGTAATCTTAGCTCTCCTACACAAATGGTGTTAGTGATTCTAAAATCACCCAACCGTTTCTTATATGGAGCTACAGTATTTGGTAAAAGTACCAAGTATCTTTGGGCCAGAGCTTGCCTGGCCTTAATGCAGCCACACATAATGGGAGTAATGTCCCTGGTCCTCCTCCCCCTTTGTGACCTGTCTACATCTTAGCATGTGTGTGTGTGTGTTGCAGGGGAGGTAAAATGGGGCTGCACAACTAATATTCCTGGTCCCCCCCTCTCCCTGCTCTGCCCCCCCCCCCCCAGGTGGGTGGGAAGTGGATGAGGAAAGGGCAATTGATAATCTTGGTTTTGCTCCACCAGTACACCACCCATTGGATTTGGCAGAGTATGGGACTGGAAGCAGGGTGGAGGGATTAATCTGTGCCAGGTAAGGGAGTGGTGCACATTATTTCCCCCTGAGAGTAAATGGGGAGCAGAGAAGGAATTCTGTCTCTGCAGGTCACAGTTCCTTTCTAGAGCTTCTGCTGGGGAGGTACAGCAACACGCCGCCCTTATACAGGTGGTAGAACCAAGGCTCAGTCTAGCTCTTTGTAAGAAGAAATATTTGTGCAAAGGGCCCAAATAGTTGTTAACAGAACCTTCAGGGGGCAAGGAAACGATTTTTAAAGCTCCGCTTAATTGCTTCAATGGCACAAAACATGAGTCAGCTTATATAATGCCTTCCAAGCAGACTTGAAGTTGTGTGAAAAAATAATTATTTCAGAAATAGGAGGTGGCTCACGGTGTTGTAACTGTTCTGCAGTAATGTTATTAGTAAGCGTGAGGGAGTGTGAGGGAGTTATTTACGATAACCTACATAGATTCCTAAATTGGTCAGACAATTCATCAGAGAAGTCATGTGAAATGTGCAAGGCAAAGTGAGTTGATACAATCATTCTCTTCTCCCTCTGTAGCATTCTGGTGGGTGACAGAGCATAACAGTGTTGTTTTTGACATTATTAGGTTATTCTGAAAATAAATCTCTTTTGATAGCCCTAAAAGGTGAATAATTGGACACAGCTTAGTGCTGACAAAAGGGAGAGGAAGAGCGAGTCCATCCCAGGAGGCCACCAACAGATGAAGAGCTTTAAGCCTCACCCTAGTTTGTGCTTTTGCAAATGAGGATAGTAGTTGCTGTGAGAAAAATCAAACGGCATTGGTGGTTTCTGAAACTATTCTTGATCCAGCAAAGAACTGAGACATATCTTGTCATGTAATCTAAACTGTGAAAAGTATATCACTTCCCCATAAAATTAAAGGGCAGTAAATTTAGAACAAGTAAAAGGAATTTTCCACTTTTCTCAGGATTTAGTTAATATGTGGAGTTCATTGCCATAGATGGTCATTAAGATAATATATTGTGGCTGGATTTTTAAAGGAGCTAGATCAGGGGTTCTCAAACTGGGGGTCGGGACCACTCAGGGGGTCATGAGGTTATTACATGGGGGGTTGCGAGCTGTCAACCTCCACCCCAAACCCTGCTTTGCCTCCAGCATTTATAATGGTGTTAAATATATAAAAAAGTGTTTTTAATTTATAAGGGGGGGTCGCACTCAGAGGCTTGCTATGCGAAAGGGGTCACCAGTAAAAAAGTTTGAGAGCCACTGAGCTAGATAATTTTACGACTGTGAGCAACATCTCTAACTAAAACTAAACTTAGTAAATGCAAATGCAAACTAAAATTATGATAATGGTCATCTAACCTCCTATTTTATGGCATAAAATGATCCTCTTGTTCCCATATAATTGGCTAGATACATTATGGGTAATTTTTCCCCTTCCTTTGACACCTAAGATACTGGTCAGAATCAGAGACAGAGTACCAGACTATTTGCTTGAACCTACTATGCCTCTGAAGTAAGTGGTAAGGCTCCCATGACATGGAATGGCACTTCTGTGGTCCTATGGAATTGTCTGAGAGATTCAATACCAAATACCTGTATTGCCATTGAATGTGCGAGAGTAAGAGTGTGCCTTGTGTCTAAGGACTGCACTGGGACAGGAGATAATATTCCCTTTCTCCTATTCTAGCTTTTTTGTCTATTTAAACTATAACCCCCTTGGGCAGGTACCGTCTCTTACTATTTGCTTGTTCAGTCCCTAGCATAAAGAAATCTCTTTAATGGTCATAAATCACATCCAGGATTCATTTGCAGGCACACCTCCCACTAGTATTAATGAGCCCAAACCTGCAGTCCTTACCAGACAAAACTGCCATTGACATCAATGGGCATTTAATCTTATGAGGGATTCAGAGTTGGGCCCAATGAGAATTACCCTACATGCAGGAAAGGGAGAATAAAGCCCCCAAAGTGAAGGAAACCTGTTTCACTATTTTTGCATTTACTTTCACCCTCTTGTTAAATTGTGGGGTAGAAGTGCTTTAAGGGACTGACCTTGGCCCTATAGAAGTCAATACCAAAGCTATTGAAGGATCAGGCCATAAATAAGAAACACAAGGGCCTGCTCCTGCCTCTTTATACTAGGTGAAGCACCAGTGGAAAAGGCCCTAAAAGCCCCAGTTCTGAATAGGGTGGGTTTCCCCTGTGCAGGCATTGTTGAAGATATCTGGAATGTCTTCCAGAATGCAGCCAGGGTCGTGCATGGGTATCAGGAGCACAGCATGCAGTGCTATGCAGATTTGGGGCAGTGCTGAAGCCCATACAGTAACCCAGGGAGGCTGCCATAACTTAGACTGGCTCCCAGAGCTATATAAACTACATTGGGGTCTTTCCAGCCCCTGGAGCAGCCCAGGATCAGGAGAGCAAATATGTGACTTAAAGCCACCCTAGCCCCCTCTCTCCCTTGGCTGCAAGTTCTGAGCTATGCCTGTTAGAGGTGTAGCACAGAATCTCACCCAAGATGTGTGTTTGTCAGTGAAAATGGAAAGATAAGGGTCAGAGTAGTTCTTTAAATATATTTGGGGATTAGCAGGATGGGACGCTCAGTCTCCTCATTGCCTTTAATGTTCTAGTATTTTTAAAGCAGGGGTCGGCAACCTATGGCATGCGTGCCAAACATGGTACGCGAGCCGATTTTGAGTGGCACGCTGCCCGCCCGGTGAGAGGAGGAGGCGGAGGGGCAGGAAAGCACCACGCTGGGGGAAGAAGCGGGGGAGGAGGGAAGCTTGGCTGCTGCGGCAG